ATAAAATGTATATAAACACACATTATATTCTATGCATTGGTATTTCTACTCCTTGATCTTCTTTTTATAATCTCATTATTAACATTGCTTGAAGCATTTGGGTGCTGGGTACAGAGGGGTAGGATGTTGCCAATTCAGAGCTGCTGCCTGCAATACCTCCAGCTGGAGGAGGTTAAGGTACTAGTGGGTGATAGAGAGATGCATACAAACATTAGCTGAGTCCTCAGGAAGGGGCATGATTGAAATAAGGGTCCTATTCTTCAGTTACCCACCAGCCACTCTGCGGAAGGAAGTCTGGGCAATCTACTTCTGTAATGATTTCACCTTAGAAACTCAAAAGGAATTGCTATGAGTTGGAATTGACTCAATGGCAGTGAGTTTTTTTTTTTTTTTTTTTTTTTAACTTAAGTTAACCTGAAAATAATATTTTAGGGTTATGAATCTCCAAATATGTCTTCTCTGAGAGTCTGGGCTTCCTTTACTTGGACTTCCTCCCATCTCATATTTGTTTTTGTCTAGCTTCAAACTATTTAACTCATACAATTGGAATATATACCCTTATTGTTGACCGTATGAATCTTTTGTTTTCTTACAGAACAGAAATGATACATTTCTGAACACACTTTTAAAATATGCCTCAGCAATATCTGGTCATATAAATTCTCAAAGACAAAAGTTAACTCACCTCATTGGAGGAAGGGTGACTTAATGTCCAAGGAATTTCTAATATATGTAGTGTTCCGTAATAATCAGCTATGGCTATAAATTGCTGCTTAGCTGAAAGATTTAAAAAAGTGGGACAGAAATCAGCAAACAGAAAGTCATCTTAGAGATTAAACACAGAATGCCTTTTTCTCTTATGGTCTCTTATGAGACCTGCTGTGGTTACAATAATCTTGGCACCTTCATTAGATGCTCATAACTGGTGAAATTTCCAGTTAATGAACTGTAAGCTGAGACCCTAAGCCACTGCCACCCACCCTGCCTCTTTAAATCTTTTCCTGGTGTCTGCATAAGTAGTGGAGGAGCTCTGGTGCTGCTGTGGTTAAGGAATTGGGCTGCTAACCAAAAGGTCAGCAGTTCAAACCCATCAGCCATTCCACGGGAGAAAGATGAGGCAGTCTGCTTCCATAAAGATTTATAGCCTTGGAAACCCGACAGGGATTGCTATGAGTTACAGTAAACTCAATGGCAGTGAGGTGGGTTTATATAAGGAGTATGGCTCCTGGCTGAGGCTGGCCATTTTTGTGGTTGGGTCCATTGGTAGATGTGAAAAGAAAGCAGGACAACACATAAAAAGATTTAAAAGAAAAATCATAAAGCATACTTTCACCAAGATACAGTCTGTCCCACAGTTTTCCTATTATAAAAACAAATCACCTGCTTTGAGCATTTAAAATAGGTATAAAATAAATGTGTTTGAGAATTTAACTTTTATATCTTATTATATGTTTGTAGTCTTCACCCTGCTCTGTGGTCATCTGTAGAATATCTGGTTCAAATTGCCAAGCCCTGAACTCTTTACCCCTGCAGTTAAGCAAAAGCAATGTTTTGTATCAAAGGTGGAAGAACACAATTTGGTGACATATATGACTAAACAGTAGCCAGACTGTGGCACTCTAGGGATTCTGATGACTCCAAATCTAGTGCTTCTGAGAGAAAAATGGATAAAAAGAAAGTTTTATGCCTTCATTTCATTCAAAACAAAGGAAAATTGCTTTTCCTTTCAAAAAGAGGCAAATATACTGGGTTTACACAGAAAGTAGATTTGGGTGAGACAAGATTAGGATGAAGGAAATGAAGTCTTTTTCCATAGACATATCCTTGAATTCCTGCATGCTTTATTATACATTAGGAGCTCTAGGGGCACTGCCATTAAGGCACTGGGTTGCTCACCAAAAGGTTGGCAGTTCAAACCCACCAGTTGCTCCATGGGACAAAGATGAGGCAGTCTACTTCCTTAAAGATTTTCAGCCTTGGAAACCTATGGGGGTGGCTATGAGTTGGAATCAACTCGACAGCAGTGGGTTTGGTTATTATACATTATTTTTCCTTGCAATTAATTAAAAACTTAAAGTTTAAATATACATTATCTAGAGAGTTGTTTGATTTTTGTCAAAAAGACCACCTCATATTATTTAGAGAGAACCACAAAAGTAATAAAATATTGAAAAATGTGACTCACAGTGAAAAGTTAAAGAAACAAATTCTATCTGGAAAAGAAGCAGCAAAAGATAGCAAAGATTTAGCAATCACCCTGTCTGACTACAGAAAGGGTGCTTTCCATTGTGTGTTACAAAACAGCCTCTGATTTTGAGAGACGCTAAACATGTCCAAGAAATAATTGCTGATGAAGCAAAACAAAGAGAGAAACTCAGGTTGTGTCCAAGATGTGAGAGCAAAAGAGAAAGGGAGAAAAACAAAAACCTGTGATAAAATATTAGAATCTTTGACTAAATATTTGACAAATGTCAAATGATCCCTAGTGTGGTAAATTGCTTGATGTGGCCCTTCTAGCCATTGTCCTCCATTTTGTGATGTATTGTAAATCCTATTATCCATGCCTGTTTAAGGTGGTGTGGTAGATAAGGTCACATGTCAACTTGGCTGGGCAGCTGGTAGTAGTTGCTCCTTATAATGACTGGCAATGGCTCTGTGGTAGAATTTGCGATGAGCAACTGAGTAGATGCTTTTTAAACTCCTGATTGTTAAAAGTCATCCACTTGAGTTATTTCTGTTGGAGCAGCACAGGTGGGATATATCTTGAGTCCCACCTTGCTAGAGGGTATAACTCAAATCACCACCCTTAGCTTCCTCGAGGGTATACCTACATATCTCCTGGGAAGGTTTGCCCTCCTCTTGCTCCAGTTCTGTGTTTTGGCTCATTGTCTCACCCCTGGATTTGGGACAGCAGCCATCATATATGATCTGCTGATCGAGGTTCATCAAACCCTGAGAATTGGGAGGATCCTGCAGACCTACTTACAGACCTGGGACTTGCCAGCCTGCTAGCCTCCCTGCTTCCATCACCACCACTACTACATGAGACGATCCCTTGGGTGTCTGAGTTCTGTGAGGCATTACAGTGAAATACAGAACCCTAAGATGGGGGAGATTACTGAGAGGAGGAGGAGGAGGAGTTAATGTCTGAAATGATGGAGTGGCATGGTAGTTTGGACATTTGGGACATCTTTATCTCCACCTCATGGGGACCAGCCTTGTGCTGATCTTTCTAAGAGAAATTGTTCAAGCACTGAGTTACCTAGAAAAGGAAAAATGAGTTAGCTCATAACATACCAGAAAGGATCCAGGGTTTGATGTAGGTGATCATTGTTATGCAGATGTTTTGTGACTGGGCTGGTTCATGGGTTTTCTCCAGAAGGTCCCAGATATCGATATATCCATCTTCTCGGCCAATATAGAAAACTCCAGGCCTTGTCAGGGACCAGTGCCCTGAGGTGTACCTTTTTGGTGCACAGCATGACTGAAGCAGGGGTCCAATCTTAAAAAAAAATTTTTTTTAAAAAACAAAGTAAAAGTTTTTGTTACCATCTGAGGGGAATTCACAATGATTTTCCATTTTGAATCAAAACAGTTTTCTGTAAGTTACAAGTCAGATGGCTATGATCATATAAGAGGAAAAGTCAGTCTTACTTCTTTTCATGGTAGGGTTTTTATATAAAGCCAGTTCTTTTTTTTACCAATGTGTTTTCATAACACCTTTTTTTCTTTTCAGTTGCATTTTAGAAAAGACCAAACCTTCAAACTGAGCTGTTAGTTCTAATAACCCAACTGCTGCTAAAGTTCATTTCTATTTCTAAGGAGACTAGTCAACATTAGACAAGTAAAGTCATAAAGGAAATTCTCACTGTAGACCTTCATTTTATTATCAAATGTCTGGTTCCCATGAAAACAGCTCTGGTAGCCAAGGAAAGCACATGTAATGTCAATTCCAGCTATGAGCTGCAGGTTGAAAATCAACAGCAGAGTTGGCAAAACTGTGTGCTAAGTAACTTCAGATGGAAGCACCCCAAAGGCTTATAAATATTGTTTGGAAGGGATTGCAGACCACCAAAGCCTCATGAGCTCATCTTCTCTTTCCTCTACAATGGGGTCATTTGCATTCTTTGGGAGGAGTTCATAGAGAAAGAAGACCAAAATGTTCTTTTTCCCACTGTCATGCATCATCTGGCAACCAGGTGTACTCATCTATTTACTTACATCTTCAGGGACTAAACTAGGCCTCTCTTCCTCCAATACACATATAAGAAACTTTCCTGTAGAGAATGAAGAATGTCACAGATTCATGAACTCCTTAGAGACAGCACTTCAAACCTTTTTTCCTTACCAGGAGATAGCCAGGTTCCTGACCCCTGCAGAGACTTTGGACAATCTTGCCTGCATTTTCCTTTTCTTTTAAACTGAAAAACTAATACTTTTTCAGTATTAAAAATAAAAGCAACACAAATACAAAAATTAAAAACAAAATAACTCAAACATTACAGAAGTACATTTGGTATAACACTGAAGTCCTCTTCGTGATGGGCATTTGTGTAGTTTCCAGTTTTTCAATGACAATGCTTCAGTCAACATCCTTGCACATATATTCATCCACATTTCTTTGCATATTTTTGTAACTTAAGGGTCTCTGAAGTGTAATTGTTAGGTCAAAGAATATATATCTACCTTGGGAGCTCTGTTGGCATAGTGCCTAAGGCATTTGACTACTAACCAGAAGGCTGGCAGTTCAAACCCACCAGCCACTCCTCGGAAGGAAGGTTGGGCAATCTACTTCCATAGTGATACCACCTCAGAAACCCAAAGAGGGGTTGCTATGAGTCGCTGAGTTTGGTTTTTGGTTTTGGTATCTATCTCCAGCTATGAAATACATATATATCTTTCAGATTTTGAAAATCTTGTCAAATTGCTCAACAAAGGGCAATTTAAAGTCCCACCAAAATGAGTTTTTCCACTTACTCTTGCTCTACTACATTTTATCAGTCTGCCTAGTTTTTGTCTAGTTTAGCTTCTCTGCCCTATCTAGCCCCTTTCCAACTTCTGACCATCAGATTCTTGTAACTGTAAAGAATCTTTGGCCTTTGTGTGTATCTGGATGGGTCATAATCTACCTTCTTTCTGAACCTGCCAAAATATTTTTCGTGACGAGCAAAACTGCCAGACCAAATGTTTCTCCTTGAACTTGTAAGGTAACGAGCACCCCATTTTCTATCTTAAATGGAGAAAAAAAAATACAAATCAAGTCACTGGCCCACAATATATATCTCAAAGACAATAAGTTTTAGAGGGATTTGTAAATGTTGGTTCATTCCCTCAGGAAAGAAAAGCAAATGGTTGTTTTAAAAAGGCTGACAGTGATTCTGCTGACTAGCTGGAGCCCTGGCCACCTGTTCTAATTTCTCTAAGTAGCTATGTCAGAACAATCTGTTGTTCCTATTGTCTTTCCCATTAACAAAGGGCCACACATTCACCCATACATTTTCCATGCAACTTACCATAACACCTTCTTTCCAGATAGCCAGATTCCATCCTCCAATAGTCAGGATAATATCCTTGTAAAAAGGTGACCTCTGAATAGTGTGGACAGCTCCATCATGGACAGTGTAGAGGTTAACTGGCTTCTTTGCTATTGGAGAGGAAAAAGCCATTTCATCCTTAATAACACTGTTTAAGTTGCCACAAGGAAGAATGGACAGGCTTATGATGGACAGATAGGTCTTCATTAATGAAGCTCAAGGGTAGAGAGTCAGAGGTCAGCTGGAGTGAATGAAACTATCAACCAACAGCTACTCCTTCCCTCTTATGAAAGAAGCCCAGGGAACTTTCTATTAAGGCCACTTTTCAAGGCTAGAGGAATTCTTTATATTCTTATTAATTTATTCATTCAGTTAATGAATATTGGTGGGTTGCCTACATGTACCAGCTTCTGTACAACAGAGAACAAACAGGATCCTACCCCCATGGAGCTTACAGTCTGGTGGAAAAGACAGTCAATAAACAATTCTCAAAATGCACAATAAAAAAAAATCATGACAAGTGCTGTGAAGGAGAATGAAAAAACTAAAAGAATAACAAGGGGATATAACTGAGACTGGATGGTCAGAAAAGCCTTCTCCGAAGATGAGCTGTCTAGGCCTGAGTAGCAATGCAGCATGAGAAGATTCTGGGTAGAAGGAACAATATACACAAAGTCCTGAGAGAGAACATTTGGTGTCTGTGATCATTAAGGTTGTATGTCAGCTTGGCTGGGCCATGTTTCTCAGTGGTTTAGCAGTTATATGTAGTCATCCCCCATGATGAGATCTGATATAATGTAATCAGCTCCTGATGAGATGTGCTATGAGCAGTTCATCAGCTGAAAGGGGATTTCCTTAGAGGTGAGGCCTGCTTCCAATATGTATGTGGATGTCCTGGCAGAGTTCTCTGGCTTTCTGCTGGATTTGGATCCTGTGTCTGGCTCATTACCATCTCTGGTTCCTGGACTTAAATCAGTGGTCTGCCATATTGCCTGACAATCTTGGATTGTTGCCTCTGCAGCCTGGGAGCCAACAATCTGCCATTTTACCTGCTGATTTTGTATTTGCTAGCCTCTAAAGTCAGCATCCTGCTGTATTACCTGCCAATCTTGGGTTCTTCAGCCCCTGCAGCTGCGTGAGTCAGGAGAAACCTCCAGCTTGACGTTTGGCCCCCAGACTTGAGAGCTGCCAGCCTTTACAACTGCTTTACAAATGAGCCATTTCTTTGAGATAAATTTCCCCCATCCCCCATACATACACACATAAAAGCTTCCCTGGTTTTACTTTTCTGGAGAACCCAAGTGCCTTTATAAGTCTGAGGAAGGCAATATGACCGGACTTCAGTAATCACAGCGTGAGAGACATGAAAAAAATGGAACCTTGGTAGATGGAGGTCACTCAGGGCCTTGTAGGAAAGGAATTTAGGTTATATTGTGAGTGCAATGTGTTTTAATCAGTCTTTTAGGCCTGGAAGTGAGGTGGTTTTATTGATTTTTCCAAAAGGTTCTCTGGCTGCTGAGAGGAGTATGGAATAGAGGCAGGTAAAGCCCAAGAGGGGAGACAATGAAAGGCTACTGTGGTAATCCTGGTGAAAGATGATGGTGGCTTGGATTAGGTCCAACGGGGAAAAGTGGATGGTCAAGAAATACTTGGGAGCTAGCATTGCCAGGACTTGGAGATGGCTTGAATGGGAAGGGAGTGAGAGATAAGTATTAACAATGACTGCCTGGTTTCTGACAAGAACAACTGTCTTGATGGAGTTTCCATTCATTGCAGCTGGTATCACTAGAGAAGAACTTCTGTAGTGTTTAGAGTAAGTGTTCTATTTAGTCTCTGCCTCAGGCCCTTGAGATCTCTTTCTAAGCCATAGCTTGGCTTTCCTCTGCCCCTCCCCATCCTCAGGCTCGGCTGTACTGCAGAGCTAAATACTCCCTATTCCTTGCCCACAACTACAACTCCAGTCATGGCCTTAAACAAGGTTGAACTACAGTGTCTGGCTACCTTACACTGAAACCACAAACTTATTCTGTATCTTAGTATATTAGTAGAAGTTCTGTCAGCATAGCCCCTAAGGCACTTGACTGCTAACCAGAAGACTGGCAGTTCAAACCCAACAGCCACTCCTTGGAAGGAAAGTTGGGCAATCTACTTCCGTAGTGATACCGCCTCGGGAACGCAAAGAGGGGTCACTATGAGTCAGGTCCAACTTGACGGCAAATACCAATAACAACAGTATATTACTAGCAATGTGAGGGCTGGATTTTTTTCCCCCAGGACTCTGAATGGGACATTTAGCACAAAAGAGGGCTACTGAATCTTTAAAAAGCTTATAAAGTCAAAATAAATAAATAAACATTTTTAAATGTAGCTCTTCTGGATTAAACAACAACAACAATAACAATATTCTTCCAATCAAAGCCCCATCTTAAAGAGAGTGCTGAAGACACACTTCTAAGGCCATCCTTGAAGAGATGTGGAAGATTCCTGGTAACGCATGAGAGCCCTGGGAATCAGCTGGTTTCTTCCTGCTGGGACTCCAGTTTCTCAGAACCTGTTTTTGCCCTGAGGCTTCCCCAAACACCAGCTCACATGACAAGCAGTGCAGTGCAGGAGTCTGGAAGCCCTCTGATAACTATAATGATACCAGTGATAACAATATCGACAACATCAAGATTGTACTTTAAAGTAACATGTTCACAGATAAACAAATGACCACAGGCACATGAAAAGATGGTCAACATCACCAGGCATTAAGGAAATACAAATCAAAACCACAATAAAATATCACTTTACTCCCACTAGGATGGCCATAATTTAAAAAAACGACAGACAAACAAAAAAATGTAAAAACACGTATGTTGACACATTTTTGTTGTTGTTGTTGTTGTTGTTATGTGACGTCGAGTCGGCCCCGACTCAAATGGTGAGAAATTGGAATCCTCATGTTAGTTAGAATGTAAAATAGTGCAATTGCTGTGGAAAACAGTTTGGCAGTTCCTCAATAAATTAAACATTGAATACTATATGACCCAGCAATTCCACTCACAGATACATACCACAAAGAATTGATATCCAGTGTCCAAACAAAAACTTGTACATGAATGTTCATAGCAGCCTTTTAAAACAACCAAAGGTAGAAATAACCCCAAAATCCATTGACTCATGAATAGATAAACAAAATATTGTACATCCATATAATGCAATATTATTCAGCCATAAAAAGAAATGAAGTTCTGATATATGTTCAACATGGATGAACTTTGAAAACATTATGCTATATGAAAGAAGCCAGTCACAAAATGTCACATACTGTATGATACTATTTGTAGCAAATGTCTAAACCAAAAAACCAAACTCACTGCCATGGAGGTTGAACTTCTACCAGCCTTCTAGTTAGCAGTCAAATGCCTTAGGCACTATGCCACCAGAGGAGGTAAATCCACAGATAGAATGCAGATTAGCAGTTTTGGTAGCGTAGTGCCTAAGGTACTTGACTGCTAACCAGAAGGTGGCTGTTCATACCCACCAGCCATGCCTCGAATGAAGGTTGGGCAATCTACTTTTGTAGTGATACTGCCTTGGGAACCCAAGGAGGGGTCGCCATGAGTCGGTCTGACTCCACGGCACATAACAACAACAGGGGATGGCAGGAGGTGGAAATGAGGAGTAACTGTTTAATGGGAATGGAGTTTCCGTTTGGGGTGTTCTGACTGCTTATTGGGAGCTCTAGAGGCTGATGGTTCAAACCCACCAGCCACTCCTCGGAAGGAAGATTGGGCAATACTTTGTAAAGATACCACCTCGGAAACCCAAGGAAGGGTTGCTATGGTTCGGATCTGACTTGATGGCAGTGAGTTTGGTTTGGTTTGGTTTGCCACTAGATAGTGGTGATAGTTGTACAACACTGAGAATATACTTGATGCCATTGAATTATATACTTCAAAATGGTAAATTTTATACTCTCTATATTTTACTACAATAAAAAATAAATAACATGCTAGATGTTTTCAGACTATAGTAACCTTTCTTTCCTTTTGTCTTTTGAAAGACCTTAGAGGAATGGATGTTCCATTGATGCTCCAATGAATGCATCTGCCCTATAGCTATAAATTTTACTAATGGAGTGCTAGAGCCCACGGGCCAGGTTATTATAAGAAAATGACAACAAACAAATAGTAGTTTTTTCCAGAGTCATTATCTCTTGTGGGTTTCAGTACAGTGACATCAAGGTAAGAGCAGACTCTGGCAGCAGACTGCCTGGTTGTGAGGATTAAACAAGTTAATCCATGGAAAGTGCTTAAAAGAGAGCCTGGCCCATGACATGCACTGATTTGTGAGTATATGAAATGATTATGTGAGTTGTCATCATTTAGCGTGAATTTCTTGGTCACTTAAGTCATTTAGAAATTTTGTTTAATCAGCTTCACTCACGGGGTTGGTTATCTGTCTTTCAGAAGTCTCTTCTTAGATGAAGAAATTGTTTTTCCTGCCTAGTTTTATATTCAAGATCAGAACATGGGGTTCCAAGCAGTCCAAGAGGTATAAGTCACAGTCACTGCCTCTCACTGACAATTTCACCTTATATCTACTCAAGAAATCTACATGGTGTTTATGAAAGACACTTGGTTGCTGGCAGCTCCAAATGAAAACAGCGCCAGTTCACAGAATGAAAATAGGGCACACAGTTTTTACCATTCAGAACATCTATGCATTGACTTTCACTGCACTTCAACCTATATCCAGTAGGAATAATTGTTGTTGTTGTTGTTATGTGCCGTCGAGTTGACCCCGACTCATAGCGA